CTCTTTTGTGTTACCACTTCTGAAAGTCACAATTCTCCAAGCTAACTCAATTCATTATTCCGGTTTCCTCAGTCCACACAACCAAGGCTGGTTTACTTTATCAAGGATCTACTTACATAAAATCTATTTATTGAATAAACATTTCAAAGTTTCATGCCTTCTTTCAGACTATACTATCTATCTTCTATGCTATTCCTATGTATGATAAAGTTCTATTAAACTAAATCATCTATGGGATCATCTTTGTGTGATTAGTAAATAATTACAACATTTTCTTATTTTACTTTTATACTTTATGCATATAAGATACCAGATTCGCTGGGTTCCTATTGTACTTTACTCATACTACTGTAACAGTACAACATTTTTTCACTCTGATAACTGTTCACCTCTGATATACCATCAGGTCATTTACTGCTTCAGGATCAGGCTTATCCATCTTGTTGTTTCCTACTCCTAACAATATAGTTTATAGTTTATACATAGATGATTTTCAATAAATGTTTATTGACTAATGATAGATCGGTTGTAAATAGCACTGCTACTTGCATTGAAAGTTTAAAAGTAAATGGACGACGAGTAGAATTACAATTTTTTCCCACAAATTAGATTCTGAAAAAGATGAAAAGGTCTTTGTTCCTTAGTAATGAATTCATGCAATTTACAGTTAATTTATTCCAAACTCCCTTGAGACCATGTAATATGATCTGTACCTCCTACAATAAGCTCACCCTTAAATGACCATGAAATTTTAAAACGTAAATGCTACATATTCCAGCTCTACTTATAAAAAAAAAAAACTAGAACACTATCAAAAAGACAAATGTTATGATATTTGAGAAACACATGTAACTGCACAGTGGTCAGTACAAATATTCTTGATACTAATGTTAATTTTCATGTATTTAGATTATCAATTTTTAAATAATCACATGAAAATAAAATGGACTTTATAAAAAGCCACATAACCTGGACTACTTCTGATGACTGAAAACGTATTTGTGAAACTTGCTCACCAACATAAACTCAAAATGTTGCTTATCTGTAAGTATAGAAATATACCTTTGACAGAGGTTTCTAATTAAAAGGAGATAAGGCAATATTTTAAATAGATGTTATTGTTAGATCAGAAGTGTTTACGTTAGACAACACTGGTAATGACAAATACGTGTTTAAAAATCACCTAAATTGCTGTTGTACAGTGGATCATATTTCCTATGATTAAGTATAATGTTTTAAACAAAGGTAATAAATAACAAGTGTCAATGTAATAAGAGATACTAAAAACTAGCTTTACCACTATATGTAGTTTTATTTTTTAAAAAATCTGATGTTACAGTTGCTCCTGCTGTCCCTTTATTCAAGACCTGTAAGTCTAGTTTGCTAGGATAGTTTTCTGATATACACAAAGAATAAAGTGAGACTCTTTCATACCCTTTCCTATATTCTCTCCCCTGAGATTTAAGCTTAATATGAGTTCCATTTCCCAGAGATAAAAAGGCCTTCATTAACAATGATGCATCCTAGCTTTCTTTTTACAATAAATTACCATATTTATATTTTGAAGCTGTCATATGCTACAGGATATTAAATGTCCTCTCACTATAATTAACTCTTTAAACCAAATAAAATGGTTTGGTCCAAAACACACTGTGAAAGTTAAAGGAATATGATTCTATTCTAATTATTTTAATAATTAGAGCTATTTTATTCTTGACAGATTTTAATTGAGAAGAGTGGCTAAAAACTCAGATTTTTCTTCCTTTAATCCTTAGGATATAACAAATTTGAACTTCATATTTCAAAAACCTGTAAGACAGGATTTTGAATGTGTTCACTATAAAGACGTTTGAGACACAGATGTTTATCCTGATTTAAACATCATACAATGTACTGAAACTTCACAAGGAACCGATAAATCTATAGAATTTTCATGTATCTGTTTAAAAATACTTTCAAATTAATCAACTTGTCTATCTAAATAGGCTCACATGTCCACGAATATAATCTGTGGTTGTTTTACCAGTTACTGGATACACAATTGGAAAAAAATATCTGCCAACTAGAATTTCCACTGATTTTTGGTCTACAGAACAACAGACCTTATTCTAGCAAAGGCCAAATAAAATCCCGCTAAGACTTGGTCTCCCTACCACAAAAAAAAAAAAAAAAAAGCAAAGGGAATAAGGCACCCCCAAAGTACAAAGTACAGATTAGTGCCACCATAGAATAATTATGAATTCTCATAAATTTAATTAGGCTGCTATTGCAGCTGTTATTTCAAATGTGCTATTATAATAAAGCAAATAAACACAGTCTTTGAAATCTTGGATAGAAGCTGGCAAATAATTTTGTTTCTATCCCAGTCTAAGGCATTATAAGAAATCATCTGCCTTTGAAAAAGATAGTGATGCTTTTAGAAACTGATGGCCCAAAATGCAACCCAAAGCCCACTTATTTATAACAAAGTAGCAACACCACAATCAAACCTAAATACTGAGGTTCTAGTTTAAGAAAAACAACTCCCACACTTGGTTCGCAGACTGACAGAACTCTTTGCATGCCCATTGTGCACGTGTGCCATAGTTTCACCACCAATGGCCTACGATGACTAATGTTATATTTCACAGCCAAAGTATGCAGCTCTTATGCTCTCTGTAATAGCATAATCCAGAGACAGAAATGTTTTTCAAAACATAATAACTATTTAGTATTTTTGTATAACACATAACAGTCTAAATATTTTAGACACTATTTTATTAATTTCCTACAAGAAGTAAACACTACTATGATCCACACTAGACAATCAAGGAAACACAAGCAATAGACAAGTAACTTGAGTAAAGAGTGGCAGAGCCAGAATTCAAATCCAAGTGGCATAACCCACAGCCTCTTTGCTTACAAGTATCCCTGACAATGGTGTAGACAGAAGAGCCATTTTGTTTGCACAATGCAAATTTTGGGTTGTCTGTCGCTAAGAAGATCCACGAACAAATTTTTATGTATATACATATCTTCATTTCTCGTAGGTATATACCCAAAAATACAACTGTTGGATTACATGGCAAGGCTACACAGTTTATAATCTCAACATTAATGCTTGAGGGCTTCCCTTTCTCCGTATCTCACGATCACTTATTACTGCTGCACTTTTTTTTAGAAACAATGGTCTTCATTAATACTTTATGATTGATTACACAAATACATTACAAAGGGGAAAACTAATTGGGATTAGAATCAAACAGGAAATAATTAACAAAGAAAGGAGGACTTGCACAGTGCAGTAACAGGTAAAACTGTGGGAGCAGCAAGAAAGAAAAATGGAATTTTTAATTTATTTATGTATTTATTTATTTGCTGTTTGTTTGTTTGCTTGCTTGTTTGTTTGAGACAGGGTAGTTTTGAAGTATGTAGCCCAAACTGGCCTTAGGAACTTGCAGCAATCCTCTTGCCTCAGCTTTCCAAGTGCTAGGACTGCAGGCCTGTACCACCATGCCCAGTTGAAAAATGAATTTTTAAAACAATTAAAACAACAAAAAGGTATCTATTTATCATGTGCTTTATTTTTTCTAAGTGTTTTATATATTTAATCCTCATAAAATCTTATGCATAGGGGCTGGGGATTTAGCTCAGCAGCATAAACGCCTGACTGGCAAGTACAAGGTTGTGTTTGATCTCCGGTAACACCAAAAAAAAAAAAATTTTTTATGGGTCAAATTTCTACTTTATTCATGAAAACTTGAGGCACAGAAAAAAGTGATGTACTCAAGGTCCCACAGGTAGTAAGATTTCAACCAAGGCACCTAGGTTATGGAATCTGTCCTATTAATTTCTATGCTCAAATGAATTTAAAAAATAAAAAACACTTCCATGCTACACAAGTTAAGTTATATCACCGAAAGTCACTGATACCACACTCACAAGTCTGCAATTTACAGAGAAGAGACTACCTTTATAATTCTAGCTTTTGACTATGGCAAACTAAGATGTAAGATATAAAACCACAACATTTTAAAAATAATGAATAGCTCCAATGAAAATCTAAATTGTATGTCTATAAAATTCAACACTGTAAATTGCTTACACATACAAAAATTATTGTAGACCATAATCAGTTAATATACCTCCTCTCACAAGTTGGTAGAACCATTGTCTGGGACAATGAGAAGGAAGGGAAAGCAAAATCCATATGCTTTATTAAACCCCTTCTTGGGATCCATCCTTATATATTTTCCTTTCCTTGAAAAATTATATCCTAAGAGAGCACTGTATTTTAATCTTAGAAAGTCTAGCATCTTTTAACTGGTAACATATTCTCTCTTCCATTATCTATAGAAGGTATACCTTTGAAAGATAAAATGAATTTCATGGCATGCATTGGTAGACTTTAGTCTCTTTGTTATCTTATTTTCTTATGATTTCCTGGTTAAACTTTTGTTACTCAGTTGTAACATATTTACTTAGATTCCTTAAAAATTCAAAAAACAAAGAAATAAAACAAGGTTTTAAGAATACAATGAATATATTCATGCTAAAGCATCTCTTATAAATTAAGTCATAAAATGAAGAATAATCAATAAATTAAAAAATACTTAAAGACCACTAGGAAAAGTTTTAATGAATGTTAGCAATTAAAACTTTATCCAAATAAAGTATGAATTAATATTTGCTATGCAGATACAAACATGAAGTAGTATCCTTCAAAGTAAAACAGATATTTCAATACATTTATTATCATACTTTGGTAGGATTACTTTTTAATAATGCCTACTTTAATAATTTAACAAAGTTCATTTTTATATTACTGTAACTACAATTTTTTAAAAGAATAAATAATCTGTGAGACTCAAGACAAATGTAAAGTATATTTTATTTACCTTTGTAAAAAGTATTATATACATAATGTATGTGAAATACCCCATAAAGAGTGAAACCTTATACAGAGTATCATTTCATGTAAAAATGTCTTTGGGGAAGAGCGGGGGTGCTGGTCCACTTACCCTTCTCCACCCATCCTTGTTATCTTTAGGCGAAAGTCAACAGAATTCAGACTGGGAGGCTTCCATTTCAATATATTATCACATCGACCAGGTTTATATTTCTAAAGTGAATTAAAATGATCATAATTATTAGTAAGAAGATAACTCAATTATTATGATATTATTTTCTATTACCCAAAGTTACTAATTCTCTTCTAAACATAATTTTGTTATCTTCTACCAACAACTGACACTATCTAGAAAAAGAACAAAAGCAATACAATCCTTCTATGACTTAACAGTAGCGCTATAATTTTTTAAAAAGCACTTTTTTCTATTCAGATTTACCAATAAACTGTAAGAAATAAAATAAATCAATAAAATTTAATAAATAAATACATATAACCATCACCAAAATCCTAATATGGAATATTTCAATGACCAAGAAAATTTCTTCCTCCAAGTCTTTGGTAACAAAGACTTCTAGAGCACATAAAAATATTTAACATAACATTTCTGAGGTGTATTTAGGCTGGTATTATGTATTAGTAGTTTGCTACTTTTTATTGCTGAGTTGTACTGTTCTACAGGCATATAACATAAATGGCTTCTGCCTTAAAAGCTCATACATATTTGGATTATCATGAATGATGTTGCTCGTCATCTTCATGAATTTTTTCATAAATTTTGAGTAAATATCTAGTAGAACAGAATGGCTGTGTTACACAGTAAATGTATGTTCAATAAAGAAACCATCAAACTGTTTTCCAATGTGGTTGTAGCAGTTTTCGTTTCCACCAGTAATGTACATTGGTCAATTTGTTCCACACCACTGTAGGATTAAGAATTGTCACTCTGAAGAAGCAGAAAGAACAACACCTTCCCGTGAGCCAAGAGGAGCGTGGGCTGGGAAGCCACAAGACAATTCCACCGCTGCCCCACCATCAGCACGACCACCACCACCACACAGACGGACGGACAGACACACACACACACACACACACACACACACACACACACACGCACACAGAGTAAGCCTCGGCTGATTTGGAGCACTCTGGGCGAGGTGAAAGGAGCAGCTTTCTGCAGTGCGTGGTTGCCCTTGCAGATCTCGGGCTGCTGGTCTGGGCAGCTACTTAGAAGATGGCAGTGTGCATTGTGGCAACGTCCTCTTACCTTGTTTTTGAAATCAAATATTTTGTTCCATTTTACTATTTTGATTTATGCCTGTGTCAAGTGGCCTGAGCAGCTACTTTAAAGATAACAATATGCGGTAACATAACCATTGTTAAATTCCTATCATCTTGTTTTGAAAATCTATTGGTGTTTTGTTTTTTGTCATTTTGCTTTTACTGTTTTTTAGGTTTCTTTGTTTCTTGATTTATGTGTTCTTTCTTTTTTCTCTTCAAAATAAAATTTTAAAAAGAAAAAACAAATAAAATAAAATGTAAAAAAGTCTTTTTTGGGCAGGATCTGTTTGATTTTAACCACTGTGTCTCATCAATTTAATTTTTATTTCTCTAATGACAAAAGATGAAGATCTTTTCATTTACTTAGTTGGCATCCATATATTTTCTTTGATGACGTGTCCTTTACTCCTCCTTTTACCTGTCTGTCTCACATCTCAACAAAGATCTTTGGTTTCTGACTAGATATAGATATACATATATCATATTTTCTACCAGTCATTGGATTTCATTTTCTTAACAATTTATTTTTAAGAGTAAAAAAATTTTTAATGAAGTCAAACCTAGCCAATGTTCTCAATTGCATAATCTGTCTTCTTTGTGCCTTAAATCTTTTCCTAATGTGACTACAATTTTCTGTTTTCTCTGAGAAGTTTCATAATTTTAACTCATTTTTAGGTAGATGATTCATTTCAGGTTCATTATAGTATGATACAAAGGTCTAAGTTCATTGTAGGCAGATGAATATCAAATAATTCCAGAATTTTTTCTTATAAAGGGTGCCCTTTCTGCATTGAAATGCCTTTCTCAAATATGAATTTATACATATAAATACATTTCTGTTCTTACTAATCTGTCAATGTTTAAAATATTTTTAAAATAGGTTTATAGATCCTTAAACTTCATTCTTTCAAGAACAGTCTGAACTAATATAACATCTGTATTTTTACACAAATTTTAAAACCAGTTTGTTAATTTCTATAAAAAATAAGCCTGCTAGAATTTTAATCAAATTGCAGTAAGTCAACAGATTAGAGGAGAAAATTAAAGGAAAGAGGAGAACACTGGATCTTGTACTCATAAATATTGTAAATCTCTTCATTTATTCAGTTCTCCTTAAATAAATCTCTGTAATGTTCTATAGTTTTGCACAACTTTTGTTAAATTTATTCCTAAGAATATTTTTGCTCACACTATAACACAAAAACTGATTTTTGTTTCTATATACCAGCAACAAGAATCCAAAAAGAATAAAGAAATCAAGAAAATTTAAATAGTATCTGCTGTAGTCAGGTGTTACAAGGAGAACAATTACATACAGGACATATAATTTATAGTGTTACTTATAATGGTCACCCCAGAGTTAATTACAAGAAGTGCAGTAAATCTGTCTACACACTAAAGACGTAAGAAACCCAGCTAAGAGCCTGGATTCCATAACAATAACCTGCATGAGTGCAGCTGAAAACCTAGAGCCCATGACAGTGTTTTCTATGAAACAACTGAAGGCCTAGAGCCTGCGACAATGTTTCATGCAAGTCTATTGCATGGGTCTGCTCTGGGAAAGCCCCAAGATCAGCGGTGGAAACCAGCAGTGCCAGCAGATGAGAGATCTGTGCCAGTAAGTTGAGAATTCTGCACTGGAGCCAGGAAGCAATGCTCAATGTAAGGAACAGAGCTCCCCCAAAATGAACCACAGCCATCCTCAGTGACAAGGTCCCAAGCTCCTTTAATAACAGCCGAATTCCTATTAGGGAAGCCAGCATGACAAGCTCCTCTAGGAGAACAGAGCTCCAAAAGAACCAATAGCTCCACGCAGCACCATTTAGGAGAACCCACAATGCTACTCTTCCTCTTCAGGTCTTCTTTTTATGCTGGCAACTTCCTCAGGTGGACCATCTACACTCAGCACCATGCTGATTCAATTCAGCTGGTGTTAAAGCTGACCGCCAGTTTTTAATCCAGCACAGTATCAAAAGGAAAAAATACCTAGGAATAAATTTAACTAAGGAAGTAAAGAATCTACATATTGAAAGCTATAAAACACTCATAAAAGCAAATTAAAGAACACATGAAATGGAAAGAAATTGTATGTTTATAGGTGAAAAAATAGTTAAAATGTCATTATTTAGAACAATATACAGTTCAATGCAATCTTTATCAAAATTCCATCAGCTTCTCTCATATAGGTCCCAACTGAAAACATCTTGAATAAAGAAGAACAAAGTTAAAAAATCATACTTTCCACTTTCAAAACTACTACAAAGCTACAATAATCAAAAGAGAATGGTATTGGCGTAAGGACAGACATATATACCAATGGGATACAATTAAGACTAGACATAAACCCACCTATCCATAGTAAATTGAAGTTTTGTCCCAAGACCATACAAAAGGGAAAGAATACTCTCCTTAAGAAACAGTGGTGGGACAGGGAATTTCCTAATGCAAACAAACAACCAAACAAAAAACTGTGGATTTCTCATCCATTACAATATACACAAATTAAAAATGAATCAAGCACCTAAATATAACAGCCAAAATCCCAAAAATCTTACAACAAAACATACAGGTAAATCTTCATGACCTTAAATTTAACAATGGAATTTAAGAATGGACATTAAAAGCATGGACAACAAAAGAAAAGATAAAATGGATTTCATCAAAATTTAAAACTTTTATCCATCACAGGTTATTATAAAAAAAACAGCAAAGTGCACATTCCTATAATTCTTGCAGCCAGGAGGCTTACTAAGGTGGATGAATCACAAAAGTTTGAGATCAGCTTGTGCGTGTAATCAACTCAAGGCTATTCTGGACTACACAGCAAGACTCTGTCTCAAAAGACCCAGAGAGTGAAAAAGACAGCCTACCAAATGGGAGAGAATGTTTGCAAGAAATACTCTGATAAAGATTTACTATCTATAATACACTAAAATTTTCCACAAATCAACAACAAAAAGACAACCCAATTTGAAAATAATCAGAGAATTCGAATAGATACTTCTACAAGTGGCCAATAAACACATGAAAAAATATTCACGATTATTAGTAAGGCAACACACATCAAAAGCAAAATGAGATACAACTTTGTACCTATAAGGGTGGGTACAATGAAAAATACAAAATGTAAGTATTGAAGAAATCACAATCTGTCTACATTGAAATGCAAAATGGCCAGACTCCAATACCATGAAGAGGGGAGGGAAGGGAAACAATTAAAACAAAGAAAGCTGCACTATGCTAGCACTACTGTAGACAACAGCTGCACAACTCCTCAAAAAGCTAAACACAGTCACCACATGAAACGCAGTTTCACTTCATACAGCCTCACACACCGAAAACTGGCATTCAGACACTCAGATGTCTATGTCCACTACAACACTATTTACTAAAGCCAGAGTTTTCATCAACACACCGTAGAATAAATAAAAAGGAGTATGTATATGCATACATACATATGCAAATGTGTATACATATAATATCAGCTATAAAATGGTACAAGCTACATAAGGGATATACGTCAGTCAAAAAGAACAAATATTGTATGATTCTAATTATATGAAATATCTAGACTAGGAAAAAACAGTAACAGAAAGTAGATTAGAGATCACTAAGGGACAGTGGGTGGAAGAAAACAGGAGTTTATTGCTTAGCAGTAACAATTTCTGGGTAGCATGATAATTTTTGAATACAGTTATATAACATCGTCTATGTATAAAACAGACTGCTAGAAAAATGTCTTTAATAAAATTTGCTCTTAATTTTTCATGTATATAACGTAAATATGAACAATCATAGCAATCAATATATTTATGTATCACTTTAGCAGTATCTTGGTTGGAACACATTAAACAAAATCAAAACATACTTAAATGGCTTTATCATATATATTTAAGGTGTACAACATGATTGAAATATATATATGTAGTGAA